ACCAGGATGTAGAACATTAGTTTAAGAATTCTTTTTTTACCAGTTGACTTCAATGTCCCACGAGGCTGTGGTCTTTAGTCTTCAGGTCCAGTGGTTCAGTCCCGATGTCCAAGTAATTTCTATAACTGTACCACCTGTATGCTGTATTATACGTATATGTATATATATGTGAAGCATTTTCAAATACGAATATAGAGATATTCACCACCATACCTTTATATGTATGTGGATATACTCCTGTATGACCTTTCTTGACTATTTAGCATACATACTTACCTATGGCTCTGGGAGCAAGGTAAGCATGGGCGTAGCACAGAGTAGCTACGGAAGCAGCAGTCAGGACATTAGACGACATGTAGCATTGGGAAAGTCAACTGTGAAGGAACTGTTTCAAGTGCTGAGAAGCAAGGATATCTCATTGAGGACTAAGGTGCACCTGACACAAGCCATGATATTTCCAATCGCATGGTATGCATGTGAGAGCTGGACAATGAATAAGGAAGACCAAAGAAGAGTTGATGCTTTTGAGTTGTGGTGCTGGCGGAGAATGCTGAAAGTACCATGGACTGCTAAAAGAACTAACAGATCTGTCCTGGAGGAAGTGCAGCCAAAATGCTCCTTGGAAGCAAGAATGGCCAGACTTCATCTCACCTATTTTGGTCATGTTGTAAGAAGGGACCATTCCCTGGAGAAGGATGTCATGCTTGGTAGGGTGGAGGGTCGACAAAAAAGGGGGAGGCCTTCAAGGAGATGGATTGATATGGTGGCTGTGATGATGGGCTCAAGTATAGCAGGGATGGTGGGGCTGGCGCGGGATCGGGCAGTGTTTCGTTCTGCTGTGCATGGGGTCGCTATGAGTCGGAAACGACTCGACAGCACTTAACAACAACAACTTACCTATGTATCTAATCACAAATTATTGTCAGTTATTACTGCTGTTGCAGGGAACTCTGGTTGTGCAGAGGTTAAAGCATTCATCTGCTAAGCAAAAGGTCAGCAGTTCGAACCTACATCTAATCTTTAGGAGAAAGGTGAAGCAGTCTGCTTCCGTAAAGATTTATGGGCTTAGAAACCTTATGGGGCAGTTCTCCTCTGTCTTAATAGGGTAGCTATGAGTTGGAATTGCCTCAATGGCAGTGGGTTACTGTTGTTGCAGCATTGCATATGTTACAGTATTTACAATAGTTGTCATTTATTCTTTTATTCTTGTGTGGGAGCTCTGGTGGCATAGAGAATAAGGCATTTGACTGCTAACTAGAAGGCTGGCAATTCAAACCCACCAACCACTCCTTGGAAGGAAGATTGGGCAATCTACTTCCGTAGTGATGCAGCCTTAGAAATCCAAGGAGGGAGTTTGTTTTTTTAAATATTCTTGTATACATCTCAGTGTCTTCCTTTGCCTTGGTCATGTTGTACTGACTAATCTCATATTGTGTATTGCCTTTCTCTTCACCAGAATTAACTCCTGTGTACTATCTACTTAATGCTTCTTTATGCCTCCATCATAACCATCGAAGAATATTTCTGTGTTTAAGCCTATTCTTGACTTTTTATTATGGCGATCTCATACAATGACCTTTTGTGTTGGATTTATTTCACTTAGCATAGTGTCTTGTAGGTTCATCCATGTAGTGAGATGTTTCATAGATTCATCATTGTTCTCTATTTTTGCGTAGTATTCCATTTTTTGTATATACCACAGTTTATCCATTCATCTGTTGATGGACATTTAGATTGTTTCTATCTTTTTGCTGCTATGAGTAATGCTGCAATGAACATGGGTGTTGTAGTGTAGTGAATTGCATGGTATGGCTTTTCTAGCCATAGTCTTTTTGACTGCCACTGGATTACTGGGGGCAAGCGTATGTCAGTGTGGCTGGGCAGCTGGTGGAATTATTCCCTGTAATGAGATTGGCAATTAACTCTGTGGTGGAATTTGCTGTGAGCAACTGAGTAGCTGCTTTTAAACTCCTGATTATTAAAGTCATCTACCTGTGGTGTTTCTGTTGGAGAAGCATGAAGTAATCTTTTGGGAAAGTTCACTCACTGTCAAGTGTGTAGAACTCTGATGTTTGAATTGGTTAGTTTTGCCATTCTGCCAGGCTTAAAAAGAGACCTCCTAGAGGCAGAAGGAGAGTCTTACTGCTGGCTGAGAGAGATGCCCAGCTGAGAGAGATGCCAGCTGAGAGATGGCAGCAGTGGAACCAAGAGGCACAGGACAGAGTGTCAGGCTTACCTGGCCCACAGAGGCAGAGGGAGGTGGAGAGGCCAAAGGCCAGAGAGGCGTGTCTGAGGGCACAGCAGAGGGGACTGTCCTGATCGAAGAACTGTAACCTGAGCATGTTGTTGAACTTGAATTGTAGCCTGTTGCTTCCCTAATAAACCTCGTAATCTGTGTGTTGTGTGTGGCCACTGCAGTGAATTTTATTAAGCCCAGCAGAGAGGTGGTGGGTGCTGCAGGAGGGATGGTTGGTGTCAAGGTTGGTAAGAGGGCTGGAGGGTGGCTGCATGTCTGGCCTCATATGAACAGGCCTTGGGCTGCTGATGGTGATTCTCTCTTCTTCTTGTATAGTTGGAGGTCAAAAGATGCTGCCTCCCTGCCCCTTTAGCAGGTGTGCATGTGTCTACTCATGTCTGCTCTTATTTCTCTAGGATATATACATAGGAGTGGGAGCTCTGGTGCCTAAGGCATTTGACTGCTAACCAGAAGGCTGGCAGTTCAAACCCACCAGCCACTCCTCAGAAGGAAGATGGGGCAATCTACTTCCGTAGTGATACTGCCTCGGAAACCCACGGAGGGGTTGCTGTGAGTTGGGTCCGACTCGACGGCACATAACAACAACAACAACATATACCTAGGAGTAGGGTTGCTGGATTGTATGATATTTCTATTTCTAGCTTTTTAGGGAAGTGTGATACTGTTTTCCAAAGTGATTGTACCAATCCACAATCCCACCAGGCAGTGTATAAGAGTTCTATTCTGCCCACAGCCTTGTCAGCATTTATTCTCTGTTTTTTTTTTTTTTTGATTAGTTGCCTAGGTTAGGTGGTATGTCATTGTAGTTTTGATTTGCATCTCTCTAATGGCTAATGATTGGGAACATCTTTTTTTTTTTCATGTGTCTGTTAGTTGCCTGAATGTCTTTGGTGAAGTGTCTATTCATTTCTTTTGCCTATTTTTTAGTTTGATTGTTTATTTATTTATTTATTTTTGTTATTGAGATGTTGAAATTTTCTATGAAATTTTGGGATTAGACCATTGTTGAGTGTGACACAGTCAGGGGTCCCCCCCCACCCCACCCGCCATGTCTGTAAGTTCTCTTTTTACTCCTTTGGCAAAGTTTTTTCGATGAGCATTAAGTTTTAGGTGATCCCAGTTATCTAATTTATCTTCTATTACTTCATTTTTAGCTGTTTGGTGTTCTATTTATGCCATTTATTAAGGTCCCTAGTATTGTGTCTATTTTTTCTTCCAAAATCTTTATAGTTTTAGGTTTTACATTTAGGTCTTTGATCCATTTTGAGTTAGTTTTTTTTGCATGGTGTGAAGTATGGGTACAATTTCATTTTTCTGCAAATGGCTAGCCAGTTTTGCCAGCATTCTTTGTTGAAGAGACTGTTTCTTTCCCATTGAATGGACTTAAGTGCTTTGTCAAAGAATTAGCTGTCTATCGGTGGATGGATTTACTTCCGAGTTTTAATTCTGTTCCATAGACCATGTGTCTGTCATTGTACCAGTACCAGGCTATTTTGATTACTGTGGCCGTGTAGTAGGTTCTGAGATTAGGAAGTGTGAGGCCTCTACCTTGCTCCTCTTCTTCAATAATGCTTCACTTATCCAGGGTCTCTTTCCTTTCCATATAAACTTGGTAATTAGTTTTTTTCCAACTCATTAAAGAAAGTTGTTGCTGTTTAGATTGAGATTGCATTGTATTTCTAGAGCACTTTGGGTAGTATTGACCTTTTCATAATGATAAGCCTTCCTGTCCATGATCATGGTTTGTTTTTCCATTTACATAGGTCTCTTCTGGTTTCTCGCAGTAGTGTTTTATAGTTTTCTTTTTGTAAGCCTTTTACATCCCTAGTTAGATTTATTCCTAAGTATTTTCTCTTTTTGAGGGCTGTTGTAAATGGTATTACTTTCCTGACTTCCTTTTCAGAGTTTTCTCTGTTAGTGTAGAGGAATCCAACTGATTTTTGTATGCTCTTGTATCCTGTAACTTGTTGAATACTTCTATTAGTTCCAGTAGTTTTCTTGTGGAGTCTGTGGGATTTTTCTATATATATAATCATGTCATCTACAAACAGGGTTAGTTTTATGTCTTCCTTACCAATTTGTATGCACTTCATTTCCCTTCTTTGTCAAGAAAGCTAACTTTTGAGGCATGGAGTTAAATTTTTCTTAGCACCTTTGATACTATTTTTAGGAATGAAGGTCTTTTTTTATAGTGTAAAACTTAATTCAGTTGTTTCTATTACTCTGCAACAGGTTCTTCATAATACATTCTCTTAGATGCATATAAAACTGTTTTGTATGTTATGTTTTACTCTGTGTTCTACATTTCTCACAACAAAAATTAAGAAGCAGTTCAGACAGAAAGGAATATTATATAATTTAAGGTAGCTAATTTTCTAATCTGTGATGAGATTATGGGTATTTTTTTCCATGCCAAAAAAATTAAATGTTTTAGAAATAGGAATATTATAGGATTATAGAAATTGAGAGTAACTTAATTGGTAAATGCTTGATTAAAGTCCCCCCCAAATATGTTTTTCTCTTAAGCTGAATGGCCTTTATTAAATACCAAGTAATGAAAGGCCTTTCTGGAGATACTAGCTTTATTGACAGTTCTTTAAATCTTTAGGTATTTCTAAGCATGAGTCGTGGTATAGTCTTTCTTTAGGCATGTCAATATCCATCCTACTTAAAGAGAAATAATTCTGTAAGTCCACAGATTATTTTAATTCATAAGAATAATGTATTTGTTTTAATATTTTAGGTGTGTACATCCCGATTCTGGTTTAATTATCGACATGTTGCAAATACTCTTTCTGTGTATAGAAGTGTCAAGAGGCTAGGTATTCCTGACAGGTAAGAAACCTAAGTAAAGCTCACCTCAGAAACTCATTGAAAATCGCTCTTATAAGGCTGCTATTATGTTTGTATTTTCTGTTGCTTTTGGCAAAGGTAAAGAAACTGGATTTGAAGTTTTCCTGTTGTTTTTATTAGAGCACACAACCGTGTATAAAGTAGATGTTACTTAAGACTATAAAGACAAATTATTTAAAAGAACAATAAAATACAGGGTGAAAAGAACAAGTATAATTTTAGTTCATTCATTTAATTATTAAGTGACTGGTCAGAGTTTTTGATTTTAGGGACCAAAACCAAACCCACTGCCATCAAGTTGCTTCTGACCCATACCAACCCAGAGGGCAATTTTGACTGATTTAAGCAAGAAAAGAATTTATTGAAAGCATATTATTTAGTTCACCTAATTGCTGGTAAGGCTGAAGCTTGAAATAACCAGGAACAGGGGAGACTAGAAAAGATACAACTAAAAATCATGGCATAAAACCAGTCCAATGACAGTAATGGGGCTGCCATCTCTTATTACTAATTAGCTCAGCCCTGGCATAATTCCTAATGTTGACTTTGGAAACAGTGTTGCTACTGCTGCCTGCTACCAAAATCTATTGTTGTTTGAACTTCTTAGTGTTTCTAGCTCTGAAATCAGAGTCCTTAGAATGTTACACTATGAGAGCCTAGATCAAATGCCCACATCCATGCTGCAGGCATGGCTGGAAGAATGAGTATCTGGCATTGTACCACTTACATAATGAGGAGGCTCTGCCTTCTATGAAGACTCAGAAAAAAA